ATTCACCAGGGACAGAGCAGGGAACAGAACAGGCAGACTGAAGAAATACACTGCTGAGGGGAGCAGTGGGCACGACAGGAGAGGTCTGCTGCTCCATGTGGGACCCTTCCCTGCCGGCCGGGATCGAACCGACACTGTAGAGGCTGCGGACAGCTTCACAGCGCAGTGCTCAACCGCCTACACCACCAGGAGAGGCCCAGGTTTTTGTCTTGTGAGGCCTCCTTTCTGTGTTTTTCACTCTTGTCTTCCATCAACTGGGATACTTGTTCTTTTCTTTCTTTTTTTTTTTTCGCCAAATTTTTAAAAAAGATTTATTTATGCATACAAAAGCTGGGGTACAGGCCAGAGGTGCGAGGTGTGGGGGGTAAGAGGATTCACCAGAGAGAGCGGGGAGCAGAACAGGCAGACTGACTGAAATACACTGCTGAGGGGAGCAGCTGGGAGACAGGAGAGGTCTGCTGCGCCATGTGGGACCCTCCCCGGCCAGCTGGGATGGAATTGGCACTGCAGAGGCTGCAGATTGCTTTATAGTGCGGCACCCAACCCCTTCTGCCACCAGGAAGGCCCTGGGATCCTTTTTCCATGATCACAATGATACTCCCTCAACGTTGTTACTTTCTGTTCACTTTCTACTGTTTAAACTTTATTCTGAGCTCACTGTATCGGCTCTACTCTCAATACTTGGTAGAAAGTAGGTAGGTATTGGTGGGCACATAAAATTCAGCTGCTGTGTTGCCTGGAGTTTGTGTGACGGGGTAGGATGCTGGGGCTTGGAATTCATTCAGCATTTCAAGTTCAGTAACATAAAGTTCAGACTATTCCTTCAAGACCTTAAAAAACAAAAATGTCTGTTTCATTGGTGTCTCGGCTTAATATCTTACAGTCTGTTTACCCCTGTTCTTTTTCTTTTGCTCCACCCAAACGGGTATATTTATTTTTTATTTTTTAAAACACTTTTTTTTTTTAAGATTAATTTATTTATACAAGAACCGGGATACAGGCCAAATGTGCGGGATGGTGAGAGGAGTCACCAAGACAGAGTGGGAAACAGAACAGGCAGATCCATTGAAATACACGGCTTAGGGGAGCAGCGGGGAGACAGGAAAGGTCTGCCCTGCCATGTGGGTATCTCCGTGGCCACCGGGGATTGAACCGGCACTGCAGAGGCTGCGGACAGCTTCACAGCACTGCGCTCAACCACCTGCGTACCAGGGAGGCCCCCAAATGGGTGTATTTAAACTGCTCGTTGTCAGCTCCTCAGGGGTGGTGGGTGAACCCCAAAGGCCAGTGTCATTTATCATAGTGCATTTTCCTAAGACAGACTTTTCTTTTGTTCATTATTTGCAAGAGTAACATCTTTGCACAGACGTTTTTTCTCTTACCCAGGGCTGGGCAAGTCTGTTCTGTCTTGAGTGTCTCCAAGTAAATGTGTTGGGCGTTGCAGGCCACAGCCCCCCTCTCGCTTAGGGTTTTGGTGTTTTGTCTTACCAGCCTTCCACATGTAGAAATTGTTCTTAGCTTGCAAAGCTGGACAGGCTTTGGGAACGCGTGCTGTTTGCTCCTTGTTGGAGTAGATGGCAGCTTTTCTGACATGTAAGGAAATGTGTTTACATTTGGACAGTTACGGAAGATTCAGCTGTGAGTACTCTCGCCCTTGTCTTCTGCTTCGGATGGGCCTATATGGGGGTGGGGGCGGACAGGTAGCTTGGAGGTACTGCTACTCAGCACAAAGAAATCTTGGACAGCAGGGCCAAGAGGAAGCAGGTTTAGGCTCAGGTGCTGACTTGGCGGATTCACATCCCAAGGCAGACCCCCTTTGTAGGAAGTCAGGGCTCATATACACTCTCAGTTTCTACAAAGTTCCAGGTGGGTTTGCCTTGGCAGCTGTACGTGGTCAGATAGGAGGTGGCTGCATTCCAAGAGGTGAGTTGTACACCAAGGGGTGAGTCAGCGGTCAGTGGTCATGGAACCCCACAGGTCCGACCTCCCTCATGGTTAACGTCTGACAAGATTCCTGGGCTTCTTTGGTGGCGCAGGTGGTTGAGCGGAGCGCTGTGAGGCTGTCCGCAGCTTCTGCAGTAATGGTTCAATCCCTTCCAGCCGTGGAGACACCATGCAGCGCGGGAGACCTCTCCTGTCTCGCCCGCTGCTCCCCTCAGCAGTATATTTCAGTCAGCCTGCCTGTTCCACTCCCCACTCTGTCTCTGGTGAATCCTCTCACCCTCCCAAACATCTGACCTGTACATGGTTCTTGTATAAATAAATAAATATTTAAAAAAAAAACAAAAACAAAAACAGGGTCTCCCTGATGGCACAGGGGTTGGGACGCAACCTATGAAGCAGTCCGCAGCCACTGCAGCATGAGTTCGATCCCCAGCTGCCAGGGAGCAACCTACATAGCAAGACAGACCTCTCCTGCCTCGCCCACTGCTCCCCTCAGCAGTGTGCTTCAGTTACTCTTCCTGTTCTGTTCCCTGCTCTGTCTCTGGTGAATCCTCTCACCCACCACACGTCTGGCCTGTACCCCAGCTTTTGTATGCATATATAAATAAATCTTTGAAAAAAAAAAACCTGACAAGATTCTTACCAGAAACTAACTTGCATCCCAAAAACTGAGTAAAAGGTCCATACCAAGACCCCCAGGCTGCTTATCCCGGTCACCATGCTTCAGAAGCCCGAGAGAAACTGCGTGTCTCAGGGTGTGTTAGAAAGAAATCAGGCCAGGGCCTCCCCGGTGGCGCAGCGGTTGAGCGCTGGGTTGCGAAGCTGCCTGCAGCCTCTGCGGCGCCGGTTCGATCCCCGGCTGCTCCCCGGCCACCGGAGGAGGGTCCCGCATGGCGCGCAGACCTCTCCTGCCGCCCGCTGCTCCCCTCAGCAGTGTCCTTCGGTCCTTCTGCCTGCTCTGCTCCCCGCTCTGGCTCTGGTGAATTCTCTCACCCTCCTGTGCTTCTGACCGTATCCAGTGCTTGTATAAACAAAACAAACAAATAAATAAAAACATGCCTCTATTAAAAAAAAAAAAAAGAGGGCCTCCCCGGTGGCGCAGCGGTTGAGCACTGGGTTGTGAAGCTGCCCGCGGCCTCTGCGGTGCCGGTTCGATCCCCGGCTGCTCCCCGGCCACCAGAGGAGGGTCCCACATGGCGCGCAGACCTCTCCTGCCGCCCGCTGCTCCCCTCAGCAGTGTACTTCGGTCCTTCTGCCTGCTCTGCTCCCCGCTCTGGCTCTGGTGAATTCTCTCACCCTTCCGCACTTCTGACTGTACCCAGTGCATGTATAAACAAAACAAGCAAACAAACAAATAAATAAATAAATAAAACATGCCTCTAAAAAAAAAAGAAAACAGGCCAACGGCATCAGATGGAAGCAGGCTTTGTTGGACGAATGCCTGTGAGGGGCGATTCTCCGTGGCTGCAGAGTGAGACTCGGGACTTGAACTGGGGAGAGCGGGTCTTTATGGGGCGCGTGCGGCGGGCGTCCCTACTGCCAGAGGGGTCTCGGGAGTGTTTACTGCTGTCAGCTTCTCTCTAGTTCAGCTTATCTCAGGTTCCCTGGCGCCGGGTTGTGCGGGTTTACGAGGGACCTGGGGGTGCTCTCATCGGGGTGTATTTATCTTCCACCTACACAGCTGTCAAACGCTGTCCAGAGTGGCTGCACCGTTTCTGGTTCCTCCGGCACAATATCGCTTGCTTTGTGCCGGCCATGCCCTGACGGCGCGGAGATGCTCCTGTGTTCAGAAAGTCCCGTGCGTTTGCCTCTGTGGTTGGCAGGTGCACCCCAAAATGATTTTTGTGTATGCAGTGAGGAGGGGCTCAGCCTTCTCCCCTTCAGCCCACCATCTCATGGGCTCAGCACCATATATTTTTTTATTTTTATAAAGATTTATTTATTTATGCATATAAGAGCTGGGGTACTGGCCAGAGGTGCGGGAGGTGAAAGGATTCACCAGAGACAGAATGGGGAAAAGAACAGGCAGACTGATGAAATATACTGCTGAGGGGAGCAGCGGGCACAGCAAGAGAGGTCTGTGAGCCATGTGGGTTGCTCCCTGGCCGGCCGGGGATTGAACTCTTGCTGCAGAGGCTGCGGATTGCTCCCTAGTGCAGTGCTTAACCCCTTGTGCCACCAGGGGGGGCCCTGGCACCATTTTGTAAAGCCCACCCTTTCGCTGTGTGGCTGAGTCTCGGGCTGGCCGTGTGTCCCTGCGTCGCTGTGTTTCCCTTCCTTGAGCAGCACAGTGTGCGCGGAAGACATCTCTTCCTGTTGCCCAGGACACTAGGGGGGCACAGAGAATGCGGCCCCACCTGACCAGTTCTTGTGTTCTCTAGCACTTTCCACGCTTTTCCACCCAGGGAGGAGCACGTCAGCCTCGATGACCGACATCTGACTTTCAGTGTCGTGCACTTCGGTTCTCTGTGCATTAAAACCCCCTCACAGACAGCGTCAGTCACTGTTTCCTTTAAGGCCACGCTTTCGCGCTCCCTGGCTCTCCTGCTGCCAGGCCTTTGCCCATAGGGCGCATCGTTTGAATCAGGGGAGGCGTTCACAGGGTTGGGGGACAACGCACAAACCCCTCCTTCCTCATGGCGTCCCTCTCGTACCCGAGCTGCCTGAGGTCTGCCTGCTCCTGCGGCCTGAGGCTGAGGTGCACCTCATGCCCTCGTGTCCTTTCTAAGTTACCCCACTTCACCTTCACACAGTAAAGGCAACCTGCACCCCACCTAGAATGTCAGCTTTGTTCCCAGCAGACCCCGTCCTGGGACACGGAGTCACGGCCCTGGGCAGGATCTGGGGTGCTGAGGGCAGAACTAGGGCGTGGGGTGGCCTCAGCTGGAGGGAATGTGCTACTCATGGGGTTCTCCTGCACCCACAGATCCTGGCTCCTGGGAGGAAGAACGTCCAGGGAAGGAGGAAGAAGACCCGGGACCCCAAGATCAGCCGTTGACCAAAGACTGAGATTCAGGGCAGCAGGTGGAGCAGACCTGGAGCACATGCTGGGGAGCAGCTCACGCGGCGGGTTCTGAGGCCTGGGCGTGATGGAGGTGCCTTTGCTTTGTTTTCTTCTTTTGTCTGTACCATGTTTGTTTGTCTCAGGCCCAGGGAGGAGACGGGAGGAGAGAAACGAAGGTTCCCAGCACAGGCTGGGGGACACAGGGTTGAAGCCCCCACGCCCCCCGGCGAGGTGGGAGCAGCAGGGAGAGGCCTTCCCTCCGGACCCGGCACCTGACCTGCTGCGTGGCCGTGAGTCTGGAGGCCTCTTGAGAAATGGTAGCGCTGAAGAGTAGGCACCGCGACAGCAGGACCTGAGAGAAGTTAACCGAGTTGTTAACGCCATGTCAGGGCGTCAGGGCGTGTGTGACGGGAGGCGGGATTGGGAGTGAGCGTGGGGTCGTGGGGGGTCGTTGCTGCGGGTGCATCTGATGTCTCTGACGTCAGCCCCGCGAGGAGCGTCCCTTCATGGGATTTCGGGTTGGAGGGGGAAGTAGGTCCCTCCTGGTCTCTGCTCTGGGACTTTTGTGTCCCTCCTGGAGGTGACGGGGTCAGGGGTACCTGAAGAGCAGCTGCTTGTGAGAACGTCCTTCCAGGTCACCGGGCAGATCTGGCCTCCTGTAGTAGGAAACCTTCTGACTGGACGCCGGGTCCGAGCGCGAAGACTCAGCCCAGAATGTCTTAGGGGGCATTTGCTTTACATGATGCCTGTCCACGTGCCCAGGGGATCCAGTCCAGCCTAGAAAATGCACAGAGTGGAGAGCGTGTTAGGTTCCGCCCGTGTCCTCACAAGGTCTCTCACGCCCCCTGTGCTGTGCAGGCCCCGCTGACCTTTGCCGACGTGACCGTGCACTTCACCCCAGAGGAGTGGCAGCTCCTGGCCCCCGCGCAGAAGGCCCTGTACCGGGAGGTGATGCTGGAGACCTACAGCCACCTGGTGTCCGTGGGTGAGGACGGGCCCTGGCCCGGGGGCCTGCAGGGCCTTTCCTGCTGGGCCTGGGAAGGCTCTGGAGTGCGGGTGCTGTGAGGGGGAGGCTCTCAGTCCCCTTCTGCTCCTGAGAAGGGCTGTTCTCTTCTCCTCTGGGGAGATAAGCCTTTCCTATGTGCATGTGAGTGTTTGATATCAGGAGCGTCTGTGTACAGGTGGCTGTCGTGTCCGGTCAGGCACAGGTCCAGTACCACCTTTCTCGTGTGATAAGAAGAGGAGGGTGTGGGCCTCCCCGGTGGCGCAGCGGTTGAGCGCTGGGTTGCAAAGCTGCCCGCGGCCTCTGCGGCGCCGGTTCGATCCCCGGCTGCTCCCCGGCCACCGGAGGAGGGTCCCACATGGCGCGCAGAACTCTCCTGCCGCCCGCTGCTCCCCTCAGCAGTGTACTTCGGTCCCTCTGCCTGCTCTGCTCCCCGCTCTGGCTCTGGTGAATTCTCTCACCCTCCCGCGCTTCTGACTGTACCCAGTGCATGTATAAACAAAAAAAACAAACAAATAAAGAAAGAAAGAAAGAAAAAAAAAAACATGCCTCTATATATAAAAAAAAAAATTATTAAAAAAAAAAAAAAAGAAGAGGAGGGTGTACCGCTGTCTTTCCTTATTCACAGCAAACCCCTTTTAGCCACCTCTGGGATGAGGTGAATGAGGATTTCCAGGGCCTCAGTTCACTTCAGGCTAACAGCTGCTGCCCAGGGACACTCCATGTTTACTGGGATGAGACCCTTGGTGGGCAGGAGAAGGATGGAGGGTGAGTCAGCAGCCTGGTCACCCACAGATGATGATCTCATCAATCCTGGCTGCTTAGTGAAGCCTCCCGAAAACCCAAAGGACAGGATTGGGGAGCATTGGAACCCTGAGAGGTGCTGTGAGAGTGGGGTGTCCAGTCAGCATGAATGCTTTGCCCTGTCCCTGCAACTTCCACTGTGACTGTTCTTCGGGTGTTTGCAGCGTGTTCTTTCAAGATAAGCTGTCACCTAGGAACCAAACATTTCCTGAGTTCTGGACTCCCTGCCCGCAAATTAATTGGAGCTGAGAGGGCATCATGGGAACCTCTGTTCAATCAGAAGCTTAGTGAATGCCTCATTGAGATTAGTATCTCAACTGGGGGTCAGTGTGGGGCTGAATCCCTAACCTGTCCCTTCATTTGCTTCCTCTGGGTGGTAATTGTCACACTGAGGTAAACTGTAGCACACTCTGACACCATCCATTGCTGTCACGGAATTCCTGGGTGTGTCAAAAACCCACATGGCAAGGGTTAGGGCTGGATCCCCAGTCTGCTTCCCCTTTGTAATGTCAAAAGTATTTGGTCCTCAATATAACATCCCATACCCCTCATTGTGTCTCTCTCATGTCCCATGACCAGGTTACCAAGTCTGCCGACCTGACACGTTCTCCAGGGTGGAAGGAGACGGACTGCCATGGACACCGGAAGCAGAAATGCAGAGGTTCCCGGTATCAGGTGAGTGAGGAACAGCTGGGGCAGGTGCAGAGACCTTGTGCCTGAGGGCAGAGAACCCCGGGTTTTATTTAGATTCATTTCATAGAGTCATCAGGAAACAGTGACCTTCATGGTGGTTTTCAAAATACCTTTATGCCAAGGCATGATGATGAAGGGATTCATTATTCTTTCTTTTCAGAAATCTCAGCTATTGAAGATTATCTGCCACAACCGTCACAGCTTGGGAACGTGGAGAACAAAGTAGAACAATGGCAGAGAACCCAAAAAATAAAGAAACCTCACATATACAGGGACTGTGGAAAAGCCTTCAGGAGCAAATCTCTGCTCAGTGACCACTACAACCTTCCCCCAGGAGAGAAGCCTCATCAGTGTGGTGTGTGTGGGAAAGCTTTTCGCAGGAAGGCCATGCTCTCGTACCATCAGAGATTACATACTGGAGAAAAAACCTATGAATGTACTGAGTGTGGTAAACTTTTTCTCCACATAACACTACTCAATAGACATCAGAAAACACATACAGGGGAGAACACATATAAATGCAGTGACTGTGGGAAAAGCTTCAAGCACAAGGGAAATTTCACTGTACATCGGCGCGTTCATACAGGAGAGAAACCTTACGTATGCAGTGAATGTGGGAAAGGCTTCAGCTACAAGACATGCCTCATAGCCCATGAGAGATTTCACACAGGAAAGACTCCGTATCTGTGCAGTATTTGTGGAAAATACTTTTCTCAGAAGGCAGGTCTCCTTAAACATGAAAGAATTCACACAGGAGAGAAGCCCTATGAATGCAGGGAGTGTGGGAAAGCCTTCACCACAAGGCAAAGTGTCATCGTTCATCAGAGTGTTCATACAGGAGATAGACCCCATATGTGCAGTGAGTGTGGGAAAGCCTTCACTACAAAGTATATGCTCAATGTCCATCGAATTTCTCATACGGGAGAGAGACGCTATATCTGCAGCGAATGTGGGAAAGCCTTCCCTACAAATTATAAGCTCAATGTCCATCGAATATCTCATACAGGAGAGAGTCCTTATACCTGCAGTGAGTGTGGAAAAGCCTTCCCTACAAAGTATACGCTCAATGTCCATCGAATTTCTCACACAGGAGAGAGTCGTTACACCTGCAGCGAGTGTGGGAAAGCCTTACCTACAAAGCAGCAGCTCAGCGTGCATCAGCGGAACCCTACAGGAGATAAACCCTGTGTCTGCAGTGAGTGTGGCAAAGCTTTTGCCTATGTGGCTTGTCTTTTTTATCATAGGCGAATACATCGAGAGAAATATGTACATTTGGTTAAGGTGGAAAATCCTCCCACTGAGAGGCATGGCACATCCCAGACCAGCGTCATCCTGAGGGAAAGAAACATTGCCAATTCTGTCTCTATGCCAGTGTCTTCCATGGCCCCTGAGACATCATTAAATGTCCCTGGGCTCCTGGCAGATGAGAATGTGGTCCTAGTGGAACAGCCTGTGGCCAGTGGGCCATCCTTGACAGACAACAGCTGGGTTGCATGGGACGGAATCCTCACGGATCCAGTGAATGTGATGGTGCCTTCAGGGTCCCATTATGTCTTATGTTATTTCGTAGAAAACCAGTAAGAAGGAACTCACACCTCTTTGTGGGAAGCGGTGTGCTGAAGTTGTAGGTCACAGTATGTGAAAAGAATAAACTCCACGAAGTCGTGTAACTGCAGCACCTGAGAAGTCTTCTGTACTCACCCTATCTGTTAAATACATGCGTTCGTACTCGGTGGCATGTGATGTTAACTAAATGTGCACACAGTTGGTCTGATGTGTCACTTGAATGAAGATAGTCTGAGTGAGTAGGTGACATAGATGAGCTTTTAAAACAGGTAAGACCATCTGTATGTGGACTGTTGTAAAATGCAAAACCACACAAAGGCCATGATTGCAACTGTGGGCTGGAAGTTTATATCCGTCCTTTTTATATCCGTCCTGTTTCTGAAAGTGAAATGTTGACTGAAAAGTAAATTCATCCTTTAACTCTTAGAGGTTTCTGTCATGTAGAGAGACTTCCTCTGCAATGCGTGTTCGATTCCTGGCCAGCCACGGAGGTACTCACATGGCGCAGCAGACCTCTCCTGTCTCGCCCGCTACTCCCCTCAGCAGTGTCTTTGGTCCATCTGCCTGTTCTGCTTCCCGCCCTGTTTCTGGTGAATCCTCTCACCCTCACGTGCTTATGGCCTATACCCTGGTACTTGTATAAAATAAAAGAAATCTGGACCACCTTGGTGTAAGGGGTTAAGCAGACTCTACAGCACGAGTTCGATCCCTGGCTGGCCAGGGAGCAACCAACATGAAAGCATACCTCTCCTGTCTCGCCAACTGCTCCCCTCAGCAGTGTATTTCAGTCACTCTGCCTGTTCTCTTCCCCCCTGTCTCTGGTGATTACAGAATCAAGAATACAATATAAACTGGGCAGGGGAGAAAAGGAAAAGCATCCTCAGAATACATAGATACCGGAATCTACTCCCTGAGAATGGAGGAAAACAGGAGATGGCAGGTGAGATCTCCAAATGTTATCCAGGGAAATTTTTGTCCCCAGGCTTGTCACCCTTGAAACTGCCACCATTCTAGAAGATTCCAGCTCCACTGTTAGGGGCTGAAGGGAGACGTACCTTCTCCTCTGTAGTCCTTGTATCCTGGGAGTGCGCCCCGGGCCTGTCACTATTCTGCTTATTTCTCCTTACTTGTACCCTGTCCACAAGACCTGTCCAAATCTTCCTGTAGGAAAAGACCTGGAAAGTGACAATGTGGTGGCTGTCTCCAGTCAGAAATCCTGGGTGATTGAGTAATGGCTTATCTGTTTTTGTGCACCATCTGTGTGCTTCACACTGTGAGGAGATATTGCATAAAACAGGCCAAGAATGGCTTTATACATGCTACTCAATTTGAGAGAGTGAGGAAGGAAAAGGAATCCAATGTGTAGGGAGTGGTAAGTTCTGTGAAAAGGGGATGGATGGTAATGTGATTAGTATGTGTCACCAGACAACCAGGGCTTTTCTGGAGAATTAGAATTTGAACAAGAATGAAGAACATGGTCTTCCACCATAATTACTGTAGCCAGAGAATGCGGCAGGATGATTTTCGATTTTCTGCAGAGGCTTCCTGTCCCGGGTATTCTGTAAAACAAAAGAATGCAGGTTTCCGAGTCACCCCAGAACTTCTAAGCCAGAATGTCAGCACTGACGTCCAGGACACTCTTTCAAATGAGAGCCTAGTACCCACTTAGATTTGAAGATGGCTGCCTAAGTCCCCCATCATCACCCTCACTTTATAGCAGGATGACCCAGGCAGGTCCTGTCCCGTGAGGGGTCTGTCCTGAGTACCCCTGGCCAGCAGGTCTCATGTCATCCACGGGTTGCTGGACTGGTCAGACCTGTGATGGCTGCCCGGAGCTCTGGGGGCACGTGCGGAATCCACCATTGAGAAGTTGACACCCAAGGACTAGTAGCCCCTGTGTATGCCAGGTGCTACCAGCCTCAGTATATCTGGGCACCTGCAAATAATGGGGAGTACCCTCCACGTGAGTCCTTGGCGCCACACTCAGGAGCAAAGCACAAGCACTGAAAGCGGAAATGGGGTTTAATAAAGGGGCAGGTGGAGAGTACATTGGCCAGGAAAGGACGCTGCTGGCAGGGCTGCAGGAGTGGGCTGTGAAGCCGCAGAAGCCCCCTCCCTGCTGTCCCCACCTGCCTCTGCTGAGCGATGAGCAGGACACTCCGGGGAGAAAAAGAAAACGATAAGCCCAGAAACACCTGTAGGGCAACCTGTTGCGCCCATCCAGCACCCAAGGCTGCTCCCTCTGCCTTCCCAGCCTCCCCCCACGCCGTCCAGTTCGTGGCATACGGGGGAGCTGGGCTATGCAGGTGGGCTGTGGAGGAGGTGACACCCGCCCCTGGGCCGCAGTGGCCCTCCCTGGCCTCACAGGACATCCCGTAACACCAGCTTCCAAACAGGAACCACCCTCACCTGCTTCCCCGGGCTGCGGCCCAGCGCGGGTGGGCTGGGACTGTGTCCTGCTCGCACTGCACGAGGAAGTCAGTGCCCGGCGTCCTAGTCCTCTGCTGGGTCCGCGGCCCCGCGACAGGTGTCTGCAGGGTTGGATTTAGTCTGGACTGTCGGGCTCCTCGCACCCCGTGGTGGCAAGTCTGCCCTTTCTCCACTGACAGCTTGTGCCGGCGGCGAGCGCCTGATCTCTGCGTCATTTCCTGGAATCTGCTCCACTGAGGCCCTGGTAGCGCGTGGATGTCAGAGACCCCGGGGAGACACATCCCCAGGGGCGGGGCTCCAGGAGAGGCCGGGAGTGGGCGGGGCTCCAAGCTGGTGAGAATTGGGCGGGGCCTCTAGGCTCCGCCCCCGAGCGGGGAAAGGGGCGGGGCTGCGGCTTCATGGGGCTCCGGGCTTTTGGCTGCAGGTGCCCGGGGCCTGGCGCCCGCTTTCCAGGCGCCCCTCAGCCTGGTCTCGGTCTCCGCTCAGTCCGTCGTCTGGAGGAGGGCAGGGGCCCCTCCCTCCGTCTCCGCCCCTCCGTCTCCGTCCAGGGCCCTGTGTGAATCCTCGTCCTCATTCCTGTCTCACAGGAGCGTCTGCTCTGGGGCGCGTCCCGCAGTCAGGCCTCCGAGGGTGAGGACCCACCGAACAGGTCAAACCTGTTCCCCCGGGATTTGTCCTGGGTCACTGGAAGGGGAGGCGGAGCGCAGGTGTAGACACAAAAAGTGAATTCTGGGGGGATGACATATATGTACTCTGCTGAACTGGCCGAAGATAACTAGAGCGCCCACGTCTACCTTGTGATGCGGGACAGTCTGAAAAGGTGCTTTTTCTGCAGGAGCCCGGGTGCTGGGAAAGGGGCTCACTGCTGCCCCTTCTCCCTGTACCCACTTCCGGCGCCTGGCCCCCAAGCTGTCCCTGCGGTTCCGTACATCCGTTCTCCAACATGGCCACCCCCTTGTCGGCGAGCAATGGACGCAGACATATTGCCTTTTCCGCACCTGCGGGCAATGCACTTGTCGATCCGTACAAGACTTTTGGATCTCTCCGGCCGCCGTAGGCGCTGCTTTCCTCTGGGTCCGTTGGGTCATCTGCCTGAGCCCCAGCACTGTGGAGTTCGGCCCCGGCGGTGGTGTCTGGCGCATCAGTCGGAGCGCGGATTGGAGCCTGAAGTTGGCTTTTGACGGTGGAGGTTAGTGTTATGCGGACACGCGGGCGCGCTTGGTCCGGAGGAGTCGCGCGGCGGCGGCCGCGAGCCGGAGGCGTTTCGGGGACGCCGGCGCCTGAAGGGGGTTTTGGGGGTCCCTGACGCTCGTGTGCGGGACTGGGGCTCCCGGGTTCCCGACGGCGCTGGAGGGCGTAGGGGGTCATAGCCCTGGTCCCGACGTCGGGGTGTAGTGGTGTCTCCGGGGAAACATATTTGGGGTGAATATAATCGGTGAATTATATTTGGGGGCCTCCCTGGGGCTTGGGTGGTATTAGGGGCGGGGCTGGTGCTGAGGGGTCTGGGATGATAAGGGGTGCGGGGAGGACGCCCCCACCCCTGGCTGGGGCGGTGTTGGGACTCCTCGCGGGCAGTGGACGGCAGGCGGCGGATGGTCGCCCCTGGGGGTTCGTCTGGGCTCCCAGAGTGGGGGATTCTTAGTCGACGCGACCCCTCTGGAGTTTTCTAACTTAAGGGCTTTATGGAAGCTCTGCCGCCACGGGGAGGGTGATCTGTCGGAAAGGATCGTCACCTACCCTTTGCCCTTCTGGTTTGGTGACTTGCTGGGGTCTCAGCACATCCCCTCGCCTTTGCCTGCCTGTGGGCATGCAGGGTGTAGTGTTGGCGCGCCGCACCTTCACCTGATGTCTGCGGAGTTAGCATGCTTAGAGGTGGCATCAGCAGGGGTGAACATGAGTAGCAGGAATCTTTATGTGCTTAATCCTGTTAACTGCGCATTTATAATTTGGGTAATTTGTGTGGAGTATAATAACCGCCAAAATATCCGCAATGACTCTAGGAGAGGGCTGTAGTATCTCAGCTCCCTGGTGCTCCTGCTGTCGGGCCTGTGCCCACAGAACATTGTTTGAAGCAGGAGAGCCGCTCACAGGGTTGGGGGGACACCACCCAGATCCCCTTCTTCCTCACAGTGTCCCTCTTGTACCCAAGCTGCCTAACGTCTGTTGCTCCTGAAGCCTGGAGCTGGGGTGCATCTCATACCCTTGTGTCCTTTCTCAATCACCCCACTACACCCTCACACAGTAAAGGTAACCGGCACCCCACCTTGAATCTGACCCATGGAATTAACATCCCTGTTCTTGAAGGGATGGATGCGCTGAGAAAGGGAAGTGCCCTGTCTGTTCAAACAGCTAAAACCCACTGAATCAGAGACCCCCAATACTCAACTGTGCAGCCCCCTCGGTTAAACAAAAGTGGGTGACTCGAGAAAATAAATAAACTTTATTATATCCTAATCACACAGTAGAAATGGAGATTTAATAAAAACAGGGAGAAAGCTGGGTCATGGCACAGCCTGTCAGGACCCCTGCACCTCCCTGCCTCCAAATTCCACACCCTGATCAATAAATACCCCTCCCCCAGGGACACAGAGGTCCCAGCCCCCAAATAGTCCTGGCTGAAGGCTCTCCGGGCCATCCCCTCACTTCCGAGAGGAGGGAAACTGAGACCCAGAAGATCACGCAGCACGTTCATGGCTCCTGAGACCTTTGGCACGTTGCTTCTGGTCTCCCCTGCAGATCCCTGAGCTGGACCCCCGCAGGCCGATCTCACACCTGGACGCGGTAGCCCCCTGACCGCCGCCGGCAGAGCCTCCGCACGCCCACCCAGTAGAGGGTCAGCATGATGGCCCAGTACCCCACGTAGGCGCCGGCCCCCATGGCCAGGTGGTAGGCCTCTGCGGCCCGGGCGGGGCCGCTCCAGTCGGCGCGGGCCTCCTGCACCACGCTGCGCACCAGGCCGCCGAGCAGCAGCAAAGCCCAGAGGGCCAAGGGCAGCAGGGGGATGTAGTTGGCGGCCAGCTGGCGGCGGCCGGACTTGCCCCAGCCGCTCTGGTTCATGGTGACCAGCGCCAGGAACTTGGCGGGCAGGAGGCCACACATGTAGAGGGGCGCGTAGAGCGAGAGCAGCACCATGCGCAGGCAGCCCCGCAGCCAGGCCGCGAAGGCCGCCTTGGCCAGCGCCACGCCCTGCACGCACAGCAGCACCCACAGCAGCGCCCACGGGCGGCCGGCGTAGAAGAGCCGCAGCACGGTGGCCGCCACGAAGAAGGGGAAGAGCCCCGACACCACCGCCTCATAGGTCATCCAGGCGTGGTGCCGGTGCCACCAGAGCGCATTGTACAGCCACTCGCGGAAGTAGGACTTGGACCAGCGCGTCTGCTGACTCAGCCAGCGCAGGAAGGACGAGGGCGTCTCCGAGTAGCAGCGGGACCGCGGGGTGTACCTGGGGGCGGGGAGCGGCAGTCAGCGAGGCTCTCCCTGCTGCCCAGGTGGGGACAGGATGCAGGGCCCCTTCTGGAAGGCCAGGGAGCCAGGTTTCTTAACCTCTCTGGGCCTCCCAGGGCTTCCTCTTACTTCAAAGGCTGGCCTGCAGGCCTTTCAGAAGGACCCCCCAATTCTCTGACCGCTCTCCTGACACTCCCCTGCATGATATTCAGCCTCCAGCCCTATCTTACTTGTCCAATGGAGTCCATAACGGTTCTCCTCTCATGGAGCTGTGTGAGGGTCGAATTAGGCTTACATGCCGAGTGCTTACCCCGAGGAGGCAGTACCTGCTCAATCAGCGTCAGCTGCTGCTGCTGCTATTTCCACGATGATTAATGACACTATTGTCTTACTCATCATTTCAGTGACTGACATTATTACTGCTACGATTACGATCTATGACTAATACTCCTGGGCTTACTCTTACTAACAGACCCTGTGGTGAGAAAGAAGCCAGGCAGGGTTCCTGCCCAGGGTGTCCATGTGTTTCAGCCTCTCAGACGAACCATCACGCTCCCTTCCTGTGGCCCTGGCAGGCATCACTAATCAATCTCTACAGTCATCTGCAGGCAGACATCACTAATCAATGCCTGCCCATTGTTCAGCCAAGCCCACCCAACAAGTCCTTTTATGGAGCATCATCAGGTAGCCGCCAGGGCTCATTTAGTTAGGAGGGGGCAAGCCCTCTATCCCCATAACCTTGACAGTGTCATGTCTCCTCCTGTGTCACTTGGCATCTCAGTGACTTCTCCACTTCTGCCTCTGCTTCCTGCCACGTCTACTTGAAAGTAGCTACCAGAGGTGGTTTTATTAAAACATGTCACCCTTTGCTGAAAACCCTTATAGGGCACCCTCATCTTAGTCTAAAGTTCTTACCCCGGCCTACAAGCCTTTCAGGAGTGGTCCCCCCATGAACGCTTCCTCCCTATTTCCCTCAGGCACCCTATTTAACACATCCTGTACTCCTAGCTTGATTTCTCTCCATAGCATGTCATGATCGAACGTACTGTACGTTCAAGTTATTTATCGCATCCGTTGTCTGCCTCCTCATCCAATGTCAGCAAGAATTTGTGACTCTCGGGTTAACTGCTGCACCCCCAGAGCATAAACCACTGCAGGCACTTAATGAGTATTTGTTGAGCAAATGAATGCAGGGGTCCCCTTGACATACCCCAAGTCCAGTGGGTCTAGCTTTGTAGACATCATTTTGCCCTGAACTTCACCTGGTCCAGACCTTACTCCCCAGCCTCACTGAATGAGATCTCTTCTGCCCCAAGCACTATCAGCACTGCTTGGGCGCCCCCGCCTCTCTCTGTTGACTCTCCTCCCTCTCTTACTAGTTAGATCCTGCTCTATTTCCCTTTCCCTCCCCACCTCGCTCTGAGTAATCTCCTCCGGGTGGTAAAGCCATCTCAACCCATCTCCTTTGTATTTTCTAGATGGAACTCCCGTCCCCAGCCCTGCCCCACTTGGTAGAGTCCAGAGGTGGAGTCCAGAGGTGGAGTGAGTCAGTGAAGATGCCCCCCCCCACGCCATGGTATCTTCCACTCTCCCCCTAAGGTCTTACCTAGTAGAGTCCATTGTCCTGTGGTTATGTTGGGTTTGGAGAGTCAAACACACACACACACACACACACACACACACACACACACACACACAAATCCCGGACAACCTCTATACATCTGACACCCCGGGGCCCCTCGGCTTACTTGGTGGCATAGCCCATGCTGAGCATGCGGTTGGTGAGGTGCCGGTCATCCCCGAAGGTGCAGTGGGTGCCCAGGAACTTCTGGTTGTACCAGGCCTCAAGAAACTGCTGCAGGGCCTCCCCGGTGGCGCAGCGGTTGAGCGCTGGGTTGCGAAGCTGCCCGCGGCCTCTGCGGTGCCGGTTCGATCCCCGGCTGCTCCCCGGCCACCGAAGGAGGGTCCCACGTGGCGCGCAGACCTCTCCTGGCGCCCGCTGCTCCCCTCAGCAGTGTACTTCGGTCCTTCTGCCTGCTCTGCTCCCCGCTCTGGCTCTGGTGAATTCTCTCACCCTCCCGCGCTTCTGACTGTACCCAGTGCATGTATAAACAAAAAAGCGAACAAACAAACAAATAAATAAAACATGCCTCTATAAAAAAAAAAAAAAAAAAAAAAAAAAAAAGAAACTGCTGCAGGAGGTTGTTCCTGTACAGTCCTAGGTGGACACAGGCGCAGGGAGCATCAGCCTGTGCTGCCGTCAACACCACCCTAACCCTAACCCAACCCTACCTCCTCCCAACCCAGCTCAGCTCCACCCCAATCCTCCCCATCTCACTCCTGGTCCCAGCGCTCTCCCATGACAACTCAGGCCTTTTCTTAACCCCATACGTTCCCAACCTTGCCCCAAAGCCGTCCCTCACCCAACCCACTTTGACAGCAAACCACTCCCAGCCCATCAGTATTAAATACATTCTCAGCCCCCTCCCCTCGTCATCTCCATTCAAACACTCATCTCCAACCCCAAACCTGGCCCCAACCTTGCTCTGGACAGCAGCCCCATCCTCCCTCCTCCCTCAAAGCCTCCCACAGCCCCACCCGCATCCATGCTGTTTCTCCAGCCTCAGTCTACACCAAACGCCATCCCCACCTCCAACTTGCAGTCTATTCCCTCCTAATTCCTTCTCTCCAGCCCCAGCTCTGTCCCCATCTTGATCACATCCTCAAACCATCTGGCTCCTCTTCTCCCTCCCACCTCACCCATGCCCCCCAAGCCGCACCCCCTGCTCACCTAGGGGGCCACTGATGCAGGACACACAGTGGAAGTAGCTCTGGCAAGCGCGCTCCACGTTGAAGGCCACCCAGTAGCGTAGGCTACTCAGGAAACTGACCCAGGAGTCCAGAGGGTTTAGGATCCTCACGTCCCCGCCAACAGCCCCGACCCGGGGGTCCTCATCCAGCACCTGCACCAATTCCAGCAGTGCCCTGGGGTCCAGTCTTGTGTCAGAGTCGCAGACCTGTAGGGTGAAGGGGGGCAGGATCAGGCCAGATCCCTGCTGGGGGCTGGTGTGTGAGGGGAGCCCAGCAAGGGGCGGGAGCAGCGGGTAGAGCAGCACTGCACAGCCAATCCGAACATGACTTTGAATCCTAGAGTCTTTTCCAATGGTCTAGTCACATTTTAAGATGGCCCCCGGCAAAGCCCTACAGTCTTATACAATACCTGCCTGGGGTGTGTGAGAGACCTATAACTTGCTTCTATCCAACAGAATGTGGTAGAAGTAATAGATTGTAACCCCCATAATTATATGACCTCATATGGAATTGGTGACAGTTTTGCAATGTCATTAAGGTCCCTAATTTGTTGTGATGTCCTAGGTGGGTCTGGCCTAATCAGGTGAGTCCTTCAAAAGAGGACCTATATATTTACCCAAAGGACACAGAAACATCAATTCCAAAGAACACCTGCACCCCTATGTTTATAGCAGCACTGTTTACAATAGCTAAGCTTTGGAAACAACCCAAATGCCCAAAAATAGATGACTGGATCAAGAAGATGTGGTACATATATACCATGGAATATTACTCAGCATTCAAAAAAGATAAACACATGCAATTTGCAGCAACATGGATGGCGCTGGAAGGGATCATGCTCAGCGAAATAAGCCAGAAAGAAAAAGAAAAATACCGGATGGTCTCACTCATAGCAGGAATCTAGAAAACTTAAATAAGGGACCAGGAAAATGAATAACTATAAGAAAGTGAAAATCAAAATCAACAAAAAACTATGAACCAGACATTTTTAGGGGGGCGGGGGCAGGAGGGGAGGGATTGGGGTCAGAATGGGGGAGGGCTGCAATTGTATGGGGAATATAAAAATAAAATTTATTATTTAAAAAAAAAAAAAAGAGGACCTATAAGTCAGGCTTCCTCTGATTGTTCAAGAGACAGGCTACCGTGAGTTCTGTGGCTGCTGGAAAATGAATTCTGTCAGTGACTATGGAAACGTGGGAGATGAGAACAGATGCTGAGATAAGAACCAGTTCCAGGAGCTGTGGTTGCAGCCTGGAGGCTTGAACAGAGGATCCAGTTAGGCTCTGCCCAGACTCCCCACCCAGGGAAACTATGAGATAATGAATGTGTTTTGCCTCAAGCTGCCAAGTTTGTAGTACTTTATTTTGCCTCCATAGAAGAGGAACCGTGAAGCTCTTTGCAGCCTCTACAGCCTGGGTTCCATCCTGGCTGCCTGGCGAGAATCCCACATTGTGTGGCTGACCTCTCCTGTCTCGCCCACTGCTCCCCTCAGCAGTACGTTTCAGTCAGTCTGCCTGCTCTGTTCCCTGCTCTGTCTCTGGTGGGTCCTCTCACCTCCATTGCATCTGGCCTGTACTCCAGCACTTGTAAAATAAAATAAATCTTGAAAAAAAAAAGAAAGAAAGAAAGAAAAGGAACACAGCCCGTTAGGGAATGTATCTCTCCAGTGAATGGACGCATGGGTAAGTGGACACAGGAATCTCTGTATTGAAAAGCTAGGTAAGGGGGTGGAGAATGCCCAGAGGAATCTCAGCAGCGAGTGCATTGGGGAGCGGGTAGAGAGTGAGTGTCTCTACATGTCATGAAGTGAACCAACCCGGGCAGTCAGCGCCACACTGGATGGACAGATGACTGCGTGAGTGAGTGAGCAGAGGGAGGAAGCCATCTCTCCCCAGGATGCCGAAAAGAAGGGACCTTACACTGAATGAATGAATAAAGGAAGGAGTGAGCTCTAGACTGGATGGGCAGAGAGAGGGACTAGGAAGGGGGCCTCCTTGGTGCCCAAGGGATTAAGATGCAGCACTATGAAGCTGTCTGCAGCCCGTACAGCACAAGTTCGATCCCCGGCCAGGGAGCTGCCCACACGGCGCAGCAGACCTCTCCTGTCTCCCCGCTGCTCCCCTCAGCAGTGGATTTAAGTCTGTTCTGTCCCCCACTCTGTCTCTGGAGAACCTCTCACCCTCCACACCTCTGGCCTGCACTCCAGCTCTTGTATGCGTAAATAAATTAATCTTAAAAAAAGAAGAGAGAGGAAGCCTTCAGGGCGAGAAGCGCGGGGGGCCCCGGGGCGGGGGCGGGGGGCGGCCCGCACCCACCTGCACGTAGTCCACCGCGTCGCCGAGCGCCTTGAAGGCGGTGTACATGACCTCGCGCTTGCCGCCCCAGCGCTGCGCCACGCACACGCAGCGGCGCGTCCGCACCAGCGCCTCGACCGCCAGGCGCCCGGGGTCCTCCGCCTCCACCTCGCGGTAGGCGCCCGCGCCCGCCGCGCCCGCCGCGGGCTCCCAGGGCCGGTGGTAGTTGCCGTCCCACACGTAGGTGGCGGGGTCCTCGTCGGCGAAGACCTCGCGGAACATGTCGAGCATGTACAGGTCCTCGGCGCGGTTGCCGTCCACCACCATGAGCACGCGCAGGCGCGCGCGCGGGTACTGCAGGGCGCGCGCCGACGCCAGGCACTGGCGCAGGTAGGCCGGGTCCTCCTGGAACGCCGAGATGGTCAGCGCCACGCTGCGCGCCGCGGCCGCGTCCGGGGGGCCCCGCGCCGCCGCCCGCCGCGCCGCCGCCGCCACGCGCCGGTGCTCCAGGTAGGCGAAGAGGCTCTGCGCCAGCAGGTGCGCCGCCAGGAAGGCGCCGTAGAGGCCGAAGGCCAGCAGCCCGTGGCGGTCGGAGGCCAGCGGCACCCCCGCGGCGTAGGCCCAGGTCATGAGGCCCAGGATGAGCAGCGCGAAGGCGACGGTGAGCGCCCGGCGGGCCAGGCCGGAGCAGGGGCGCGCGCCCCGCCTGGGCTTGAGCAGGTCCTGCGGGGGAGACAGAGGCGGTCCGGAGGGGGAGGGGCCCTGAGGGCCCCTGGGGACAGGTAAGCGCTCCCGGCCCCCCGCTCAGAGATCTCCCCCCCCCCCGTGTTGTAAGGAAGAGCGAGCCGTATGGTCAAGTTATGTCCACCGGTGACAGTAGCTGAGGCCGACAGCCCTGCCCCAGGATGTTGATTCTAATGCCATTTTCCCCGCGCATTTTAGCCGCTCTCAGAAACCCCTGGGCACCCCCCACTCCCCAACAGGGAGCTAACCACATGGAGCAGCAGACCTCTCCTGTCTCCTGCTGCTCCCCTCAGCAGTGGGTTTCATCAGTCTGCCTGTTCTTCACCCCACTCTGTCTCTGGGGAGTCCTCTCACCCACCGCACCTCTCGCCTGTACCCCGGTTCTTCTATGCATAAATAAATAAGTCTTAAATAAAATAAATTAAAATGTGACTACTAGAGGGCCTCCCCGGGGGCGCAGCGGTCTGAGCGCAGCGCTGTGAAGCTGTCTGCAATCTCTACCGCCCAGGTTCAATTCTGGACAGCAGCCGAGATACCCACATGGCGCAGCAGACCTCTCCTGTCTCTTCTGCTGCTCCCCTCAGCAGTGTGTTTCAGTCAGTCTGCCTGTTCTCTTCCCCACTCTGTCTGGTGAGTCCTATCGCCCTCCCGCACATCTGGCCCGTACCCCGGTTCTTATGTGCATAAATACATAAATCTTTAAAAAATAATTTTTTTGAAAAAATAAAAAAAATAAAATGTGACAACTAGAAAACTTCAAGGATGAGCTCACTTTCTGCTTACTAGGACAGAGCTGTGCCAGAGCTAGTGATCACGATCTGAACAATTATCACCAGCTCCTGGGCCTCCCCTGGTGGCGCAGCGTTTGAGCGCTGAGCTGCGAAGCTGCCCACAGCCTCTGCAGTGCTGGTTCGATCCCCGGCCTCCTGTGACAGTCCCACATGGCGCGCAGACCTCTCTATATGCGCCTGCTGCTCCCCTTCCCAGTGTATTTCATCAGTCTGCCTGTTCTGTTCCCCACTCTGGCTCTGGTGAATTCTCTCATCCTCCCAGGCTTCTGACTGTACCCAGTGCTTGTATAAATAAATAAATAAATAAATCTTACAAAAAAAATTATCACCAGCTCCTCTGGAATTGTCTTCCATTGGTCCTTGGCCCCAAACCTACCGTGAGTTTCTGGGGGTGGCCCATGCATGCTGGGGAGCATCCACCCATCAAAACCCACAAATTCACATGCACCCCACATTGCCACACATGTACCCATATATTCATGACAGGTGACACGCAGGTGCGCCTACAGAGGGCAAGTCTCACATTCTTTTTTTTTAAAGATTCGTTTATTTATGCATACAAGAGCTGGGGTACAATCCTGAGTTGCAAAGGGGTGAGAGGATTCACCAGAGCCAGAGTGGGGAGGAGACCAGGCAGAGTGACTGAAACACACTGCTGAGGGGAGCAGCGGGAGCAGCAGAGGTCTGCTGTGCCCTGTGGATTGCTCCCCTGCCGACTGGGGATTGAACTCATGCTGTAGTGTCTATGGACAGCCCCATAGCCTGTGCCTACACCCCTGTGCCGCCAGGGAGGCCCAAGGCTCACGTTCTAGAAGGTGAGCAGGCACCTGCTCTCAGCCCACAGGGAGCCTGGCAGCCATGCCCTGAAGTTGGGGGACACGTGCCCCTCTCCAGCACCCGCAACCCCAGTGCGGTGCCCAGGGACATCATGTTTGCCGCCCAGGGGGCCGGGCGGGAAGAACTAGGAGCGGGACGCGCGTCCCTGGAGCTGTCGCCTGACAGGCAGAAGCGGGGGCTCCGCGCTTTCAGGGGGTTCCACTTCAGGCGGGTGGGACTCGGGAGAAGTCGGAGCCTGTCAAGCAAGTACAGCGCCCCCCACCCCCGCCCCGGACCGCTGCCGGAGGGACAGACGCCTCACGGCCCCAGAGCCGCCTCGGGCCGGGCCGGCCGCGCCCCTGGCCGCGCCCGCGCTCACCTGCCGCATCGCCGCCCGTCCTCCGCGCCCCGCCGGCTCTGCGCCCCGAGGCTGGAGGGGGCATTTGAAGGCCGCGCAGGCGGGGGCGGGCCGGGCGCTGACGTCAGGCCCGAGCGGGGCCAGGGGCCGTGAGGTCACCCCCGACGGCGGCCCCACCCGCTTCCCGCCAGCCCCACGGCCCCCTCCCGCACCCCAGCACCGCGGCCACCCCCTCCCGCACCCCAGCACCCCCATTCCCGCCTTGCCCGCTCTTTCTTCTACCCCTCTTCCGCGTCTCCCCTCCTGCCGCGCGCCTTCCCCTTCCCTTCCCGCCCGCCTGCTCCCCCGCTCCGCACTGCCCGCCCGGCTCCCTCCGTCTCCCCGCGGCCCGGTCCTCTCGCCGACCCCGTGTCCCCCTCCCGCGCTGGCGGCGCCGAGGGAGTCGGGGCGCACGTGCTGGCAGTGGCTGGTCGGGGCCGGGGGCCGCTGGGTGGGGGGTGCTGCGCCGGGCGGGGGGCCGTCTCGGGGCGGGGTGAGCCTGACTGTGGCTGGTCAGCACCCCAGGGAGTCGCCGGGAGCTGAGCGGCATCAAGGTGGGGTCGCCTGACCCGGGGCCACCGGGAAGGGGTGGCGGGTCCCAGCAGGCGGCCTCAGCCCGGGACACATTCATTCCTGCACGGAGTGGGGGGTGGGCCAGCGTGGGGGTGAGAGGATGCCCCCAGACAGAGTGGGGAGCAGAACAGGCCGTTCTGCTGAGGCACACTTGGAGGGGAGCAGCGGGGGACAGGGCGGGTCTGCCTGGCCACGCGGGTACCTCCCTGGCGGGGCTGACCTCAGGCCCAGGTGCTGGGAGAGCCTGACAGCTGAGACCCTGGCTGGGGGGCGGGGAGGGGGGTGGCAGGGGGAGCTGCTTCCCTTGATTCTTCAAGTTTTTTAAAAATGGAAAAATCTGTCCAGGGGCTTCTCCCTCATTTCCCCTGAGCGGATAAGGCGTCTGTCCCGGCCTGCACTCTGGCTGCTCCGCTCTCCCGCCCGGTGACTCCCGCTGTGTCTCCCTCTGCACCCCCCCCCCATGGTGTCTGTCTCCTCGCTGCTCCTCAGTCCTTCTGTCTGTCTGGGTCTCTGTCCTGTCTGTCTCTCTCCAGGCCTCCCGCGTCTGCGTTCTCTCCCCCTCCCCCTGGCCCCTCTTCTCTGGCTGTCCCCTCCCCTTAGGCTGCAGCTCCCCAGTCTACCTTGGGGCTTTGGTGGGGGGGGGCTGTGCTGACTCCCTGGCTCCCCGCTGCGTTGGTGGGGGGAGGGGGCCCTGTCAGGTTTTGCCTCAGGCTGACCCAGGGCTTCGGGGAGCAGAAGGCGGGTTCAGGGACCCTGCGAGGGGCACCCTGCCCAGCCCTCCGGGGCGGGGCAGCATCTGTGACGCAGTTGCCAGGAGGTGTCTGGCTGTGTCAGGATGATGGGTCCTGGGTGGGGGCTGCGCCCAGAGCAGGAGGGCGGGTGGGGGCGGCCCAGGCTCCACTCAGAAGCTGGGCAGTTGGCTGCCCAGCCCCCACCCCGCCCTGCCAGGGTGGAGCAACTGTATAAAACCAGATGTTTCTAAAACCAGAGTGTGGACAAGGGAGGAAGAAACAGGGCTCTGAGCCCCGCTGGTCTCCTCCTCCAGGACCCTGGGGTCCAGGCCCCCGGCCCCTCCCTCAGACCCGGGTATCCAGGCCCCCAGCCCCAACCCTCAGATCCTGGGGTCCAGGCCCCTGGCCCCTCCCTCAGACCCGGGTATCCAGGCCCCCAGCCCCCTCCCTCAGATGCTGGGGTCCATGCCCCCAGCCCCCTCCTCCCTCACACCTGTGTCCAGGGCCCCAGAAGCCCGTGCAGGACAGAAGCGGTGCTCCAGGCTGGAGCAGAGGGGAACTGAAAGGCCAGAGCTGAGGGAGAGGGCACCTCACAGAGGCATCCCTCGCTGGAGGTGGGCCAAGGCAGTGGGTGGGGGCACCTGCTAGCCTCACTCACAGTCAGGTCTCCCAGAACCCTCCACTCCAGGGCCCCACCTCCAGCCCCTGCTCCTGCCCACAGGGGCCTTTGTATGATTTTGATTATCATCAGAAAACCCCAGGGTATGTTTCAGGAAAACTTAGGACACAGAACTCAAGAGTGAGGAGATAATCAGGCAGAAACAGGGAAGAGAACATTTCTTCACTGTGGGGACCCTCCCTCCGCGGGTGGGCTGGCCTCCAGGCTGGGCAGTGCCAGGCACACAGAGATGACTCAGACCTGGACCTGCCCTTGAGGAGATGCCAATCTGGTGGAGGAGACAGCTGTGTAAACAGAGGACCACAGGGCCTCCCTGGTGGCACAGGCGGTTGAGCTCCGTACTGTGAAGCTGTCCGCAGCCTCTGCAGCAAGGGTTTGATCCAGGCCAGCAGGCGAGAATCCCACATGGCACAGCAGACCTCTCCTGTCTCGCCCGCTGCTCCCCTCAGCAGTGTATTTCGTCAGTCTGCCTGTTCTGTTCCCTGCTCTGTCTCTGGTGAATCCTCTTACCCTCCTGTGCATCTAGCTTTTACCGCAGCTCTTGTATAAATAAAATAAATCTTAAAAAAAAGAAACAAAACCCAGAGGACCACAGACTGGTGCTCAGAGGCATCAACCAAACCGGCAATCAGGGAAGGCTTCCTGGAGGAGATGGTGTCTAGACGAGGGAGTCCTGACTGATGACAAGTTAGCCAGGGTGAGTTAGTAAGGGTGACTAATGAGGAGTAAAGCCAGATTTAAGGTGGGGGGGGGGGCTGGTGTGGACTGCGGGTCCTCCCAGGGGCCTGATGGTGGAGCAGGGCATGACCACAGGCAGGTGGATGCTGTGGAGGCAAAGAGGGTGAAGCATGGTTGGGGGATAACTGGAAATAAGGTCTCAAGGATGCTGAGTCCCATCTCTTTCCTCAGGCCCC